GCCGTACATTAGAACATTATTTAAAGTTTAAAAATAAGTTGGATATGGATGTCAGTTTTTGCACCTTTAAACGTTCCTACTCAGAATATAAATCAATGATAGTTTTATTTCAACATATGATTTATTTTAGAATCTAATAGTTTATTGATGAGGTTCCAACAATTTTAGATAATTTCGTGTATTTTCCTAGGAGTAATAATTATAGAATTTGATAAAATTTCTCTTTGGCATTTAAAATGTATTTTGTTTTTTTTTTTATTTGATTTGAATTTAAATACTATTAGTACTAAACAACTACTAAACAAATACTAAACAAACATACTGCCACCTGTTGGTCATTAGATAGAATGCAGCCTTACATCAATCTAGTGTAAATGGCTAAAAGGTTAACTGTGTCCTCTCCTGTTAATACCAATTATCTAAAATATCTCGGCTTCCCAAACAGTGTATATGAATCATATATTGGATTTATTTCGCACAGAAATAATAATGCTGACTGTTTTTTGAATTCTGAAGCTATTTGTCTGTCATTTATATTTAACAGAAAGAAAAGAAGGACACAAAGCTATATACTTCAGTAAAAGTTAAATTCTAGCCCCTTGTAGCCTGTGATCGGTGGTTCAGATTACCATTCTTATTGCTGTTCTGTAATTAACTCAGAGGCAACCATTATGTGCTGGTCCTAATGCTACAGCTGAGACCAGAAAATGTACTGATGATTAATTCCTGCATTAACAGAAAAAAAATGTGCTGGATTGTAATTTCCACATCAAGGGAGAGCCAGAAAACATGTAAACATTATCCCTGCATCTCATCAACCCATAAAGGGTTATTATCAAAGAAAAATATCTGCTTTTTTCCCTCGGAGCTACACTTGATAAGTTACCATGGAAACAAACAACCAGCCTCTGATCAGCAGTTTAATCAATATCAAATTAAATGTAAAATTGCAAAAGTCTTGCAGGGCTAAGTGAGTGTTCTCAATTACAGAATTTACCATAAAAAAATTCTTTCTGAAACCAATATTAGTAGAAGAGGAATTTCAGGCATATTTCATACCATAAATATATGGTAAGGGCTTCTAAGCAGCAGGAAATTACATGGAGTAACAAAGTTTGACTGAACATCACCAAACCAGATTATCCTGCCGTGGTCTGTGTCTTTGTTTCCTCCTTACGTTGAAGCGGAGGAGCGGGTGAATGCTGGACAGGAAGAAGATCCATTTTTTGCTGTATGTGGAGCAGAGCTGATGGTTGGAGAACGGGGGCTGTTGGTAGGGGCACAAAAGGATGTCATCTGAGTGGTATTTTTAGAGAGTAAGGAGTGCTGATAATCTTCCACCGGTGCAATTTGCCTGCAGGTTTCCAGCAATAATAACTGTTCTCATTCTGCGATTGACTCAGATTTATCCCCTCCTCTGCAAAGGAGCCAGTCTTATAAAAAGAATGCATGGTCAGAGATATAAATATCTATACATGACGTTAGCATGTCTGCAAAACATGGTTTTCCATTCTGAATAGATTTTAGATGCAGTATAGAATTTGGTAAGTAAGTTTAATTGTCTTACAGGAATTAAACTATGAGGATTATTTGCTTGCAAGGTAGGATCCAGGGCCGGCCCAAGCCTCCATGGAGCTCTAAGCAAAATTTCATCAGATCATCAGATTTACACACCTGCTATAAACTCATTGCAGCTCTGGAGGTTGAACTATCTGTCGCACTGCACTGTCTTCTATTTCTATGCATTAGCAAGTGTAACTAAATTTAACGGAATAAACAAATATGCAGTTTATTTACATAAAAGTGTCATGTGGTTTTTCATTTTTAGTTGCAACAGCAATACACAAAAATAACTTGTAGTCCAAGAAAAACGACAAACAAATGAAATAGGCTTGAGAAGGAAAAATATACATGAAAAAATAAATCCAACAAATTATCAAACTTAATATTAAACAATGAAGATAAAATGTTACTTATAAAGTGTTTCTTTGTTACTATATATAATAAAAAAAATTAATATACATCCCAAAAATATCCAGTTCTTGTTCTTGGGGGCCAATCCAGTTGTTCGCTTCTTCCTTGGTTTGGCCCCTTTTTGGATCTAGAAAACGTTAGGGTAGAAAAAATATAATTATAATAAAAACATCAACAGAAATTCAAAAATTGTGATTCATTCTGATATCTATTGTCTCTTTAATTTCAGGAAAGTGAAACTAATACAACATTCATACACATAGAGAGAAGGGCTTTAACCCTTTATTTATGTCCTTTTGATGTCCAAGTTGCTTTGATAGGAGCCAAAAATTAAACTCAATGGAGAAATCAGAAATCTGTTATCTAGAAAACAGGGTCAATGTGTTTTTGATTTAAATCCATCATAAATCTGGTTCTTCCTTTGGAAGCCACAAACCTTTATGGCCTCTACAGAACAATCCAGAGACGTTTGTTAGAGAACATTTTAGTGAACAAACACCTTTTTGAGGTCCAAGGAACAGAACAGAAAGATCCAGGAAAAAAGACGTGGAGACGTTTAAAGCAGAGTTAGGATTCCAGCAACATTCCAACTTTTGGCCATCTCTGCTCAGTCCATAACCTGAAAAGGGAAGCAATATGGCCAACAGATAACAGTGCAATTAAAAAAATCTGGTCTTTATGGAAACTAGCCAAAAAAACGGTTAAATAGAACCACAGGCCATGCGGTGGAAACATCAAGCAATAAATAGAGTACAGTCCTCTGATTGCAGTTTGATGTATTTTTTTTTGGTTAGAATACAAAACACCACGTCAATGAAAAACTGTAAATGCGCAAATATCGATACGTACTCCATCATTTACCACGTTAGTGGCATAATTTTGTGTAACTTCTTGTCTTCAGCAGGGACGGGGAAACTCAGTTTATCCAAAGATGAATGGAGTTCAACAATGAAGAAGGATCACCTTTCAGCAAGGCAGAGTCCCTGCTTTTACAATGCTCTCTGGTGTCTTTAAGGAAATGGAGTAGTCCTTTAAGAACATTTAAGTCTGTACTGAAAATACGTTCAAAGGAGATACTCCATTAACTTAATTGCATGGTGTAGAAAGAGAGCATTACAGTTAGTATTGACCCCATGGTTTTTAATTATAAGCTTCCTTACAGTACATAAGGTATTTTAGCAGGTATTAGACAGTCTCTACACAGTTAACTGGTTAGTAGTTTGTAATTAGTTGACTATATTTTGTGATCAATTGCAGCTGTGCAAATAATTTATTCATAAAGTACATATAACTAGGATGATATATGTTAAGATGATTGTTTATTGCTGAATGATTTGTTGGTGTTGAATGCAATGTATGTGCTTGTGCAGATTATTTCCACACAACTTAAATAAAAGTGGAATTCAAATGTTAAGTGTTTCAAAAACAAGTTAATCACTAAAACAATTATATAAAGCAAAAAAATCACCTAAAAAAGTCTATCTATCTATCTATCTATCTATCTATCTATCTATCTATCTATCTATCTATCTATCTATCTATCTATCTATCTATCTATCTATCTATCTATCTATCTATCTATCTATCTATCTATCTATCTATCTATCTATTTTTTTCTTTTTTTCAATAAAACTTTATTAACAAAATTGACAAACAGTATCAAAAACCATATTAAAACATAAATTAACACACTACAAGAGTATTAATAGTGAAAAGGAAAACAAAAGAGATTACAAAAAAAAGAAACTTATGGGAGGGGTACAAAATTTTCATTTACATTTTTCAAAGGCATTAAAATTATTCAAGGTCTTTATAGCTTTCAAATTTGTTAAACCTTTTAAGGTTCCAAGGTAGGATTTCAGTTCAGTTTTGAATTGAGGCAAATTGGGTTTTAAACTGGACCATTTACATTTATGAACATAAAACTTTCCAAATAAAATAAGAAAATTCAAAATAAAAGAGTCCGTTTTAGTCAAACATTTTGAATAATTAAAGATAATGATGTCTTTGCACTGCAGTGTTATTTGTCCATCACAATATCTTTTAAATAAATGTTCAATTTCTGTCCAAAAAAACTATCAAAATAAAAAATAAAAAAAAAAAAATAAAAAAAAAATAAAAAAAATAAAAATACAGTCCTAAAACAAATGTGAGATTGTTTCTGTGACAGCTTTACAGAAAGTACAAGATTCATCAAAGTCATTCCTATACCTTTTAATAAATTGATTTGTTGAATGTATTTGATCAATTATTTTAAAGTTAACTTCTTTTACCTTGTTAGTGACTAGATATTTATTACTGTGAGTCCACACCAATGACCAGTTAATATTCGTAAAGTTGCTATTCCAGCAAGACTGACAGCGAGGAAGCACAGGGCAATGAAAAATATTTCTGATAAACTTGTTGTTAATTTTTTTTAAATCTAAAATGTTAATACCGTGTATGAAAATGTCTCTTTTAGGAGGTATTTGTATAATCGGACCATTCCTGTCTTGAAGCAGTCTAACAAAACCAACTGGAATTGCATCAAAAACTATGCTGTATTCTTTAACAGATACTGGGAAATTAAAGGTTCTTAAAAACTCAGTGTATGTCAGAAGATGTCCTCTTTCATTTACAAGTTGGGAAACATAGTTTATATCATTTTGGATCCATGTCTCATAAAAGATTGAGTTATTTTTGTATTTGATATATTTGTTATTCCAAATTAGAGATTTATGTGGGGGAAAATTTTGTTTGTATAAAAGAAGCCAACAAGACAATGCCTGTCTGTGAAAATTAGACAACTGGATGGGGATTTTGTTGACCTCAAAATCACATTTCAGAAGAAATTATATTCCTCCAACGCGTTTAAAAATCTATCTATCTATCTATCTATCTATCTATCTATCTATCTATCTATCTATCTATCTATCTATCTATCTATCTATCTATCTATCTATCTATCTATCTATCTATCTATCTATCTATCTATCTATCTATCTATCTATCTATCTACTGATAAACGTCACTTCCGTTAAACGGAACGCGCACACCGGAAGTGACTTGTGGAGTGGACGCCGCTTGCCTGTTAGCTAGCAGCAGCATGACAGTAATCATGTTGTTTTTGGCAGGAAGAGCGGAGCTCCGCTCCTGGACCTGCTGGGTTCTCCTTCTGCTGGTCTGCTCCGCTTCATCCAAGCCTGACAGTCTGAAGGAGGTGACGGACGGAGACTGGGAGAAGATAATGACAGGAGAATGGATGATTGAGTTGTCAGTGTCCTGCTAACGGGCTATTCAGCTAGTTTTGTAGTTTTTATTTTAAACACGTAAAGTTCCCGCGTCAGCTAAAGGAGTTTAACAGTTTATTTAACTTTGTAGTGAAATTGTTTAGCCTTCTAAACAGACTTTACTCTCTGCTAACTAGCTATTTGTGTGTCATTCAATGAGCTAACTTGGAGGCTAGCGATGTCGAGTAGCAGGACGTATTTTGACCCGAGCATTAACAATTGAAAGCCTCCAATCCTATTTTATGTATTTTATTTTTTTTTCCTCTTAGCTACGCGCCCTGGTGTCCCGCATGCCAGCAGCTGCAGACGGCGTGGAGAGAGTTTGCAGACTGGGGGGATGACATGGGCATCAATGTAGCCAAAGTGGATGTGACAGAGCAGCCTGGTAGGCATCCCAAAGCTCATCAAACCTGAACACTACTTTATTACAGTGGCTTAACAAAGGATTCATACATCTTGAACCGTTTTCTTCCTATTTCTTTCACTTTATACCTGAATCTGAACGGTTTTTTTCCCTCTGGGATTTGCTTTATCTATTATAGAACCACCAAAAGCCAATTATTAATAATTATATGGAAGATAAAAATGTGCATTGATTTCAACATTTGATTTACTGCTGGGAGTCTGAAAGCTCCTCCTGTTGCTTATTTAGTGCACCAAACCATTAAATCAAATAAGTTTTCACTAGTGTTGCACCGATGCCATTTTTTGGCCCCGATACCTGGCTGTGCAGTATTGGTCGATACCGATGCCATCTGTTTGAAATTGATGTGTGTATATATAAACTGCATATTACCTGGATGTAAAATAATTGCCATCATGGCTTCATGTCAAGCTGCTGCCTGCCTTTGTGAAGCAGGAAAAAGACTAAAACAAAGTGCATTTAAGGGGAGTGGCAGTCTAGTGGTCAGGGCATAGAGCTTTGAATCCTGAGGTTGTGAGTTTGATCCCCCACACTGCTCCCCGGACGCCGCACAATGGCAGCCCACTGCTCCCCAGGGGGATGGGTTAAATCCAGAGAAGTAATTTCCCTCGGGGATTATTAGTGTGTGTATATATATCAAAATAAAATATTTAAATAATAAAATATAAGTGAATCCAGTAGAACTTTTTATTGCCTACCTGGAATTGGTGACATTAGTTGAATGAACTTTTGGCTCTCAAAATGGTATCGGAGCCCTATTTGTTGGTACCGATGCCACCATTTTAGTGCTGTATACTGGTATCGGTGAAACACTAGTCTTCACCTAATTTCCTGTGTTTACTGATAATTGTTTTAGCTTTAGGGCTGGATTCACTCATATGAATATACTTTGAGCTGCCATTTTTATTGCAGCTCTGACTGCATGTTTTGGGTTGTCCTGAAAAGTGAACCTAAGTTTTTTTTTCTGTGAAGAAGAAGAGCTTGCCCATATTATGATGCTGCCTCCTCCATGTGTCACCACGAGGAAGGCACATTGAGGGTGTTTGAATCTTAGCAGATATTTGATTAGAAGGGTTAGCATCTCCAGTCCTCGAGAGCCGCTCTGCTGTTATCGTACTTTCTTGCATTTTAATAAGTTCAGCCATTACAATGTTATGAACCATTTTTAGAGTCAGGTGTGCACAGATGTTTCCAAAAAATGGAGTTCAGTGGAACTCAAAGATTAGATCTGTAGATGGCTAAGTTAGATGATGCTACAATAAGCTGTGTGTTTTGACATATTGTTAACAAAAGCTTGGCGCCTTTACATGAGCTAATACCTAAAGGTAATTAATTAACTTTTTGGGTATTGGAGTAAAGCAGGCTGCAAACAAATGCACAGAACATCCATTATCCTCTTGTTGGTGTTATTGTGACATATTCTGAAGGTGTTTAAGAGGTACAAGTATCTTTTTCCAAGGCGACGCATGTAAAGAAAATAGCCAGATCAGGATGGTGAGATTCTGAAATACTATTGTTATGAATAATGCCCAACATTTTCTAAAACCATGTTAACACTTCCGATGCATTTAAGACATGTTTCCTCTGTGCTGAGTCATCATGATGCCGTTTTAGCAGCTTTAAGAAACCTGAATTTCATCCCATAGCTTCTACTACCAGCTGATGGATTCTCACAGCTTTCATTTCAAATGCCTAGACAGATGCGTGTTTAGACACGGGTGCTTCAAATTAAGGTGTTTTGGGTAATAAGTCACGTTTTTCCTCTCTGCTGACTGACGTTGGTTTCTTTCCTCTAAGGTCTGAGCGGGCGATTCATCATAACTTCACTTCCTGCAATCTATCAGTACGTATCTGCATATTCTGTGGTTTTCATCACTTCCTCGTTTGGTGGAAAGGAAAAAAAAAACAAACCAACAAACAGTCTGTTGAGATGAAAACTTTAAGCATGGTTTGTTGTTGCATCTGAGTGAATTGTGTTTCAGGTTACTGTTATTTACCAAATAATCTGTGTATTCTTACACATATTGGTTAATAATCTTTCAATCAATGACATTTCCACTTTTTTCAGGAGTTTGAATTGTGATTAATGTTTTTAAGAAGTTAAACAAAGATTGTGGACATTATTTTTAATCATTGGCTCATACTGAAACAAGTTGAAGAGGCTAAAAATACATTTCCTGTTACTGTTGTGTCAAAGCAGTTGCTAATCCTGCACAGCAGAAACATGATTGGTAAAAACATAAATATGAATTTTTATCAGTCATCAGATTTAATCTTTGTGCATTTTATGTTTCAGCTGCAAAGATGGCGTTTTTCGGAAGTACCAGGGAGCTCGTACTAAAGATGATTTCCTCAGCTTTGTGGATGAACAGAAATGGAAATCCATGGAGCCCGTCTCTTCATGGTTCGGGCCATCTTCATTTCTGTAAGTAAAGCTGAAATATCTTCTTCATTGGAGCGTTTCTGTCACTTTACAAAGCAAAACAAGCATCCAGGTATTTGTGAACAGCTGCTCCACTAAATGACATGCTATGTTCTCGTCTTTGACAGGATGAACTCCATGTCTGCTTTGTTCAAGCTCTCCATGTTCATCAGAGTAAGTTACTACCCTTTGCAGCTATAGAATGACTTTTGCTGTTTGTAAGAGATGTTTATTAAATGCAGAGGTGTCAAGTAACCAGTGGTGTCAAAAGTTCACACATTTGATACTTAAGTAGAAGTATAGATACTGCAGTATAAAAACACTCTGGTAAAAGTTGAAGTATCAAGTTGACCTCTTCACTCAAGTAAAAGTGAAAAAGTATGCGCTCCAAAAACTACTTAAAGTATAAAAGTATAAAGTAACCTTTAATAAAAACGCCAGATGCCACTATAGGAATTGAAAGCTACATTCGACTATTTCAAAAATTTCTTATAGATAGGAGCAAGGATGAGGGAGGTCTTGTTGGTCTCCGTCTCCCGATACGCTCTCGCCTGTGTCCGACCTTTCAGACATTTCAGCATCTTTTTCTGAATCCCACATTGTAGCATGGCATAGACATTTCACGTTAGCATTTTGAAGAACACCTGCTGGCTTCTGATGATTTCCTTTAGCTAACCAATGAGTGTTTGCGTTCTATGACTCATCCATGGCATGAAATATATATTTATAAACATTAAACCACGAGTAACTAATAAAAAATCAGTGGGGTCCAAATAAAGAAAATCAACCAGTAAATGTCAGGAGACATTTTTAATGATCTGTTACTTTAAACAGAATTTAACACTGAAATAAAATGACGTATTTATGCATTAATGTTATGCATTGAATAAAAAAATAAAAATAGAAATTGTCAAATATTGCATCCCGTTCTATCTGAGAGGAGTTTACACTTTTATGACTGTATTCCTGTATATCCATCACTAGTTAAAAGACAAGTTTCAGCAAATGCAAACTCTGCCTGTAAAACAATGACAGGGCAATTGTCGCTGTACGATCAGAAGCCTCATTTGGAGCTTTTAAACAGGCTTTTGAAAAACTTTGATAATTTGCTGCTGTAATATTATATATTTTTTAGAATAAAAAGCTAGCAGATGTGAATAATCAAGAAATAACAAAAATACAATTATAGAGCATTCAGTATTGTAAGAAAGCCCAGACTTTTTCTGAATAAATACATTATTGTATGAGTTAAGTTCTGTTCCGTTTGTCTCTTTCCTTGTAAGTATGAAATGTCCCATGCTCCTGAATGCACCATAGCTGTCTGACGCTCACGAATGCATCACACTGGTGTGTGTAGATGCGCGTCTGATTTTCAGCTGAAGACAAAGCTTTTCTTTAAAACCCACGTCGGATAATCGCTGTTTATTGTTGTGTGTGTGAATAACAAGAGACTACGACAAATAAATCGGCCGTACCTCGGACAAAACCTTTGGATTTAATGTTGTTCATAACATCGCAGTCCGCTAATCCGTGACCTGTGCTTTAAACCGAAGCCAAGAGTAACGAGTAACTTTTGTTTTAAAAATGTAAGGAGTAGAAAGTACAGATACTTGTGTGAAAATGTAATGAGTAGAAGTCAGAAGTAGAAGGAAAAATAAGTAATGGAGTAAAGTATAGATACCTGAAAAGTGTACTTAAGTACAGTAATGAAGTATTTGTACTTCGTTACTTGCACAGGTGTCAAGTAACAAAGTACAAATACTTTGTTACTGTACTTAAGTACACTTTTCAGGTATCTATACTTTACTCCATTACTTATTTTTCCTTCTACTTCTGACTTCTCATTACATTTTCACACAAGCATCTGTACTTTCTATTCTTTACATTTTTAAAACAAACGTTACTCGTTACTCTTGGCTTTGGTTTAATGTTTCTAAATCTTTATTTCCCGTCATGCGCTCCATCCAATGCAGATCATTGGCTCCGCCCACATCTAGTGAAAACTAGTGTGATTGGATGAGTCATAGAACGCAAACACTCATTGGTTAGCTAAAGGAAATCATCAGAAGCCAGCAGGTGTTCTTCAAACTGCTAACGTGAATTGTCTATGCCATGCTACAATGTGGGATTCAGAAAAAGATGCTAAAATGTCTGAAAGGTCGGACACAGGCGAGAGCGTATCCGGAGACGGAGACCAACCAGACCTCCCTCATCCTTGGTCCTATCTCAAAGAATTTATAGAAATATAGTCATATAGCGGCATCTGGCTGTTTTTTTTTTTAAAGGTCACTTTATACTTTTATACTTTAAGTAGTTTTTGGAGCACATACTCTTTCACTTTTACTTGAGTAAAGAGGTCAAGTTGATACTTCAACTTTTACCAGAGTGTTTTTAAACTGCAGGATCTATACTTCTACTGAAGTAACTAATGTGTGATTTTTTTTTTTTCACACCACTGATTGAATGTTGTGCTCATGGTGGCAGCAGAGGATGAATTAGATTTATATTTTTATAGTTTTACACAACTTGTTCTAAGTGGGTCAATTCGCCCTGATTGCTCTTTATCCTGCTTTTAAGGCGATTCCTGCTAACTATTTCTAATGCTAACTCCACCCATCGATGTGAAAACCAAGCTACTGGTCAGACCCAGTATTTAAATTAGAAAAAATTAAAGTTAATACAATGCCTGTAAATAAAAGAAATGTGCTGCAGTGTGATTGTGAATGATTTTAGCTCTTTTTGATGTTGAAATAACTTCAATGCTTCGATAAACATGAGAAGCATGTTTTGTTTTACAGCGTTGCCATAACTACATGACGGAGCAGCTGGGGATTCCAGTTTGGGGTTCATACGTCATCTTTGGTCTGGTCACCTTGTTCGCTGGCCTGACGTTGGGTCTGGTGAGTGTTTCACTGATGACGACATGATGCCTGCACTGTGAACTGAAATGTGCCGTTATTAATTACTGGATTGGTCTTTAATATCTTGTTCTTTTTAGTTGCTGGTCTTCATCGCAGATTACGTCTTTCCCTCTCGGCGATTTTCTTCGCATGAATACTACCAGAGTGAGTTTTGTTGTTTTTCTCATTCGTTTTTACATGACCAATGTTGGGCTGCTCGATGTCTCAGTGGGTAGCACACTGCCGCCTTGCAGCTAAAAGGTTCCAGGTTGAATTCCCGGGCCGGGGTCTTTCTGTAACGGGGGGGTGGTGGCCTTATGGTTAGGACATAGAGTTTCGAATCCAGAGGTTCTGAGTTCAAGCCCCACTTTCACAGCCAGCACTCTGGGTCCCTGAGCAAGAAAACATTGAAAGTACTTGCATATTAGCAACATGCTCCATGTTTATAAATTTGTAGTCCGTGAAAGACGTCCAGTCGAGAATAGCAAATCCATCCTTTTTAAAGAGAGATGACTCTAAAGCTGTCTGTTGTTGAGGTTTTAAAGTAAGATCAGTCTCACATGGGACATCAGAACGGGGATCATTGAAATATAGCTCCGCTCCGGTCGCCATCTTGCTGTAATGTTAGCAGAGAGTGCTTAGAGTGACACATTGTTAAGTTTCACCTCAATTCAATTCAGTTTATTTCTATATCACCAATTCACAACATGTCATCTCGAGGCTCTAAGCAATAAGCAAGCATAGTAGAGAGGAAAAACTCCCTTTGAACAGGAAGAAACCTCCAGCAGAACCAGGCTCAGTGTGAGCGGCCATCTGCTGAGGCCCACTGGGGTTCAAGGAGACAGAAGCAGACATAGAAAAAGAAGCATAGATACAAAAGGCAACTGTCAACCAGCTCCACAGGCGGCCCCGTCCAGGAAACACACAGCCAGGCAGACGAGCTCCGAGCCAGCTCCCATGTCAGAGGATGAAGAGAGCACATCCAGTTAGTCACAGTCAGAGAAACAGGACTACACTGGAAAACAGGCCAAGCTCCAACATCTAGAAACAAAGGTGTTGATGGCAGCAGCACAGCTGATATTTCTCTCCAGGATGGAGTCACAGCCAAACAGGAACAGACCAGATGAAGCTACTATGAGAAAAAGCAGAGAGAGCAGAACGTTAGAGATTGAACTAACAGATTCTGCAGAGTGGGAGAATAGAGATAGAATGAACCAGAATGATGAAAAAGGGGTCCCTATGTCCTCCAGCAGTCTAAGCCTATAGCAGCAGAACTATAGAGATAGATCAGGATAACCTGAGCCACTCTAACTAGAAGCTTTATCAAAAAGGAAAGTTTTAAGCCTAGCCTTAAAAGTAGACAGGGTGTCTGCCTCACGGACTAAAACTGGTAGTTGGTTCCACAGGAGAGGAGCCTGATAACTAAAAGATCTACCTCCCATTCTACTTTTAGAAATTCTAGGAACCACCAGTAAACCTGCAGATTGAGAGCGAAGTGCTCTGTTAGGAACATAAGGAACAATCAGATCTCTGATATCAGATGGAGCTTGGCCATTTAAGGCTTTATATGTGAGAAGTTTCAGCTCCCGTGCTGCAATTGGTCCGGCCATATTTGCCTGGATTTGATGGCGGTTTACCCGACTGAATTAGTCAGACTGTTATGCAGTCTGGCTAGCCAGGCTACTTTAACCTCTTTTAATTAGAACTCATTTTAACTTGTTTTAACCACAGACCTTATATTCTGTGGGGACTTAAAGAAATTAATTACTACATTCTTGTGAAAAGGAAAAAAAAAATGTTTTCTTTTTTTTTAAAGAGGGATTGCAACATTTTCAAATGATACTGCCACCTTTGGCCAAAACCCAGAACTGCAGCACTATTCCACTTGTTGCCGTCGCATGCCCTGGTAGTTGACTTCACTTTTTTCACCTTACCTGGAGCTGCCATTGGTGTCTGAGTTGAGCTGGATGCCGGTTGCTTCTAAGTATCCAGAAAATACATCTTGAATATAACACTTTGATTGCTTGCTAGTTTGAACCATTTCAACATGGACCATAAGCTGAAGAGCCCAAGAACATCCAACCGCAGTAAATTTAGGAAAATAGGCTACAGGCTTATAGATGGAAGCTGACCTACCGAGGTGTCAATCTGCTCATCAGGTGATGTTTCAGTTGTAAATGGTTAATTAAAAAGGCTATTATTAATATATTTTTCACTAAAAACTTACATAATGTGTCTCTAAAGTTCTTCTTTAATCAGTTGTGGCTTTTAACAAATATCCAAACATGGGGTGAATGCACACTGACAAATGCAAAGCAGTTAAAGCATATTTAGCTTGTAAGTTGCACATAACCTAGGTGATGATTTTTCTGTTTCAACAGAGAAACAGGCAATGGAGCAGGCAAGGCTGATCCAGCATCAGGATGAGGACCAGGAGGCCGACGGTGAAGAGGATGATGATGATGAGGAGGAGGAGGAAGAGGATGAAGACCAGGACGGGGACTGGAGAAAACTAAGAGGGTCTCCCGAAGGTAGACCAGAACCCAGAAGCCAGGGTTACTCTGATGAGGCTCTGAGGAAGAGAGCGGTGGGCAGCCGGGAGGAGGATGAAGAGGACAGCTAGAGAGCTAGCAGGGAGATTCCCGAGCCTCTTTTCCTTTTCCTCATTTGATAAGAGCACAGTGGAGTCAGAAGAGCTGGAGGAGCTGTGGTCCTTAGCAGCAGTATTAAGAAGAAGGGGTCCAAAATCTTCCTTCTGACACGCCCCCTACACCCCCACTTCAACTTTAGAAACACCCTACTTTAACACCTTGTTTCAAACAGGAGCCCTTTACACTTCTACCTCCGCTCCCTCCACCTGAGCAGCAGGCTCCAACTGGAACAACAAAAAAACTTTCCTCACACGTGGAAGCAAGCCGCCATGCCTGAGGTGGAGGTATGAAGTGCAGCACAGCTGATTTTTGAGATGCTGTCTATGCTATGCATTGTTTTTCATAAAAAAAAAATGTTTTGCTTTTAATTGTGACAAGCTTTGGTCTGTGAACATCACTTGTATCAAACAGGTCGTTTTTTTTCTGCACATAAAACCCGAAATCAATCAAACTTCAGTTAAAAAGATAATTTAAATCCGTTAAATCCCAGCTCTATTTAGTACTTTCTAACACGCACATCTGTAAAAATCCTAAAGTAAAATAAAATGGGAAAAGTTGTCAGATGCTAAGAGGTTAAGCTCAGTTGAAATAAACTTTTTATTGGTTGGTTTGGATCATTTCCCTGCAACTGGACCTTTTAATATGCACCAAACTTCCCCAAAGAGTTGATTTCAATAAATAAAAATGCAGCATGACCAAAGACAAACAGATCTGTCGTACCTTCAAACGTGAGCACTCTCTAAGCATCATTCTTCTTCCCTGTTTGGAATATCATTAAAGTTTTTCCATTGTAGTTCTGTTAAAATAGAACTGAGGGAAACAAATCTTAAATAAAAAAAACTGCCCTTTTGTTTTTATAATAAACCATGTGCAAATAGAGGATTAAAACTTAAACACAGCCTTGGATATAAACATGCATCCATGAATGCAGGAAATCACAGAGCAGGAACTCCTTTGATGTCCGATGTCCAGTCATCACTAGTTTGTTTGAGCAGCCGTGTAAATATTAGTCATAAACTGCATTATAAACGAACACATCCTGCTTTAGGAAGAAGTATTTTATTCACTCCAAAGTTAACATCGTTTAGGTTGTTACTGCTTGGAAATGGACTATGTTTGCTGTCATTTTCCGTTTAGTTTTTTGCTGGTTTTGCTCCTAAAAATGAATGTTTACTTTAAATGTGACCCAATCAGCCAGGCAGCAGCAGACTGTATGCATGCTGAAATGGCCAATGAAAGGAATACAGTGGAAGGAAGCATCGGCTTTGGTTTGCAGGCTTCCTCTCTTAACACTGAAACAAGCTAACTGCCTGCTTCTGTGTGTTTCACCACTTTCCAAATATTCAAGCATCTGACTTAAAGCTACGATTTTCACTGATTTCCAGGCATATTTCATTGTTTTTATAGGGCTTATAATGATTTTCACAGACTATTGATTCATGATTTTATTTTTTAATATATCCTTATAATGAATGTGTTCATTTGGAGACCCTTAAAGTAGGTTAGGTTTTCTTTTTCTGATCATTATTTATGGCTTGTAGCATTTTCACTTTACCCTGGGCAGCTTCTGCTCTATACTTTGAATAAAAGTTGAACAATAAAAACTGTTTTTCAATTTTATTGTCTGAGAAATCGATGCTGTTATTTAACTTTTCTTCAGGTTATTTTTTTGTGAAGCTCGCTACACATAGTTGATGAAGAATAGTCAGTTATGTAAATAATTTCCTCTCAAAGTCTGACCAGCATTGTTTCTCTGATCAGGTTCCAGTTCATCATTAATGCTCTTATATATCAGATATAAGTATCCTTTAAAGGTAAACAGCTGAAAATTCCTCCTTTCTAAATGTGAACGTTTACGTATGATGAATTCAAGGTGAATATGTACGTCCTTTTAAATTCAAACGTGTGAATGTTTTTCCCTCAACTGTCCAAACATTGGTTGATTTGATACAATTCTGAAAAATGGGCAATTATCAATGTTTTTAGATTAATAATTCTCCACATATAAATACTTCCAAGTTGTATAAATCCTCCCCATTAAACAGAACAAGTACCAGTCCTTGCCAGCAGATGTCAGCCTTGTACTTATTTTGAGTAGTTTTAAAGGTCACCCAGAGGTTTACCACTAAATGACATAAAAGACGAATCAACATGTGAAATTTGCATTGGTATGTGAAGTATGGTTTGTATTTCCTCTTATTAGATCCCTCAGAGGGCTTCCCAACTCCTGCAGAATCTCCTCCACCCTCCTGTGCATAGTTTTTATCAGAAGTTAAAAACTGGAGCCTGACTGAGGAGCCGATCTGTAATCAGCTCTGTAATTGTAGCTTGAGCTGCCCTCTGTGCACGCTCTGCTTAGCAGGGGTTAAACTGTTACAGGAAGGGAAAGCGGGCTAAGGTGTTTGATGGGATTCCCCCTCCTCTCCCAGCATTCGCCAACGCTGAGTGTTACAGAGCAGCGAGGTCTGGACTGCACAGTAAAAAGAAAAAGCAAACAGAATCATTTGCAATGCTATCTACACATGCTTTTGTGCAATAATAACTGATGGCAGATGGTAATGTTTCTTTTTCTGTTCTTATTCATTTAATTTGCTGCAGCTCATTTGGTTTCCTGTCATCCTTGCTGTCATTTCCTCAATATCTTCTAGTGAAGCGCCAGCTTTGCAGTCATGAGAGACAAAGGCATGCTGGGTATAAAGACACAGCTTGGGTGTAAAGTGACATCTGAAGAGAGGAATGCCTGTTTGTGGAGTTTATTCCAAGTCTTTTTTTTTTACTTTAGTGCTAATTGAGTTGAAAGAGAAACAGCTGAGTGTTTCATGTCTCTCTATAACATACATAAAGGAAAGATCAAAGCTATTTTGTAGGAACTTAAAAAGTTTTATCTTCTTCCCATCGTTAGATCTTTAAGATGCATCACAGACCAATTTCATAGCAGATTTTCCATCCCTCCACACCACCCAAACTGCCCTGATGAAAAATGCAAATGGTCTGCTGGCTCTGGTCTCTCCATTCTCACTCTTGACCTTATTGACAAATATGTTTCAACTTTAAACTGATTCCTCTCTGGTTCAATAAACTTCAGCCATTTTGTTGTCAGTCTTGTCCATCTCTAGAGGTATACCCCGAGGTTCAGCTCTTGGACCCCTCCTATCCTTTATTTACGCCCTTTCCCCTGTGTCACATCTTTAAGGAAGAGGATTAGGGCCACTGAAAAAAAAAGTCAGAATCCTGACTTTTTTCTCAGAATTCTGACTAAATTCTGACAATAAAAAAAAGTCAGAATTCTGAGATTAAAGTCAGAATACTAAACTGAAATAAAAGTTAAAAATCAGTTAACTTTTTTTTTTCCCCACTGGCCCTTATCCTCTTCCGTACATCTTTCATAAATTATTTTCCACTGTTTTGCTGATGATACTGAGCTCTTTCTGTCCACCAAATCTTCCACACTCCAACCTAGTTATTACAATTTATTCTTACAACACATCCACGGTGAAATGCTTTCTTAAAAACTATTTGTTTAACACTTCTTTGTTAAGATTTTTTCTTTGGAGTTGGTTTGAATATTCCATTAGTTGTCAAAATAAGTGTTTATAAACTGACTTATGATCAAATACACTGCTTCTCTCCTCCAGCTGTTTGATCGTCCAATCTGTCAAATTCTGTCATCTTGGTCATGCCAACCAAAAAGCAGGCTAAAAACCAGACTTTCAAATTTTGTTTTTATGGAAATTCTCTAATTATAAGTTGCTCTACTGTGAGCCAAAGACATGACAAACGGCACCCAGAAAGATGTTGAAAGGCTTTAATAAAAACCTGAGCCAAAGTTGGGTTTCGTTTAATGTCAGCCTATTTTCTGATTGTCCAATACGGTTGATTGATCCTGAAAATTATGCTGTTTTACTTCTAGTGCAACCGTAGTTTCCTCTGATGTCTTGCTAGAAATAATTGTTGCAAATACACCAACTTAGAAAACCTTTTCCTCATAAGAGGAGAGAATCGACCCAATAACCTGAACAGCTTACGGCTGAAGTACCGTCCACTCAGCTAACAATAGAAATTCTCAGAAAGTAAAACTGTAGATCTGCTTAATTACTGTAATATCCTACCTAACTGTCAATAAGGCGACTCTTTCTATTATAGACATTCATTTACACTTTAACTTGAAGCCTATAGAAATACCATAACTATGTGTTCAGTAATGTCTTGGCTTCCTCAGTTTACCTTACATTTGGACTCCATGCATTACAAGAACTTAATTTCACAGGCTTTTGCTGGATCCGATGTTTAAGGATAATTTTCAGACAGCTTGGAGGTACAGCAGCATCTGGTGCTTTGTTCTTTGGTTGCGCCCCTCAGGCACTTTCATACAAAGACATTTGGTAAACTAAGGTGGATATTGATCTTTAAAGTGGAGCATCAAACCTGCTGCTCATCCGGTTGATTGATGCATCAATCATTGCAACTTTGGGAGGTAAGACAGATGTTTAGACTCAAACACATCACTGTTAGAAACATTAACATTTTCAGATTTCGTCTTTATTCATCTTCGTTAGTTGTCACCATGGTCATATGGTTATGCCTATTTATGGTTATATAGAAATAAACCTACCATTCAGGATATCTTGATGTTTGTACAAACATACTACAATTTATCATCTGTTCCTTACTGATATCTTCAAAGAAGTTTCATATTTTAGATACCGAGACACACAGGGGTAGAGAGTGTGACCATTATATAAAGGTCTTGCCTTTATGCAGCTGTCTGGGATTTGAATCCAGATGCCAAGACATTCTTCCTCTCTTTTTTATCCTGTTTTCTGTCAGTTAACTGTTATATAAAAATTCAGATTTAATATTCTAAATCTCTTACAACACTTGCTTAGTGTCATAATTCTGCCCTTTCTGGGCTTTTTGGTTCTGTTTACCGGTAAGTTTTCTTTTTGAGTTTTCAGTAACACTTTGATTTATGTAATTTTATGTTTTTTAGGTCTTTGGTTTAATTTCCATTTTGTGTCATCCTAGTTCTTTTCTGGCTGTTTTTTTTAGCACTTATGTATTTCTTGGTTACTCTCTGTTGCCCCCTTGTGCCAGTTTCTTTTCCCCTAGCTCCCTTCTAGTTCCTTCTGTCCACACCTGCTCCCAATCAGTTGGTTACTCCATTCATTGTTCTATTTGGCATTTAAACTCCTCATTCCATCGGTTTATTCCTCTCAGCTCTGCATTTGAGTCCTCAGCAAGTATTCACCAATCCTGACACTGATTTTAGTTGGCTCATCTAATTTTTTTATTTTTCTGTTTCTCTTAAAACTTTGAGGATATATTTGTTCTGAGAAAACTTACCACAGGATTCAGAGCAAAGTAAAGATTGTTCAACTCAGGCTTTTCTAACCCACCTTCATTGAGAATAACTCAGTTGAAAGCTGGGTGTCTGTTTCCACACGGCCTCAACCTGTTTCTCAATTAATCTGATTCACCATATTAATAATATTTCTATATAGAAGGCATGATTTGTCTCCAACCTTATAATAATGGGAGCTTAATTCTGCAGATGGATTACAGTTACAAACTTACCTGGCAAAGGGCCGTAGTTGCTAACCTCAAGAGTTTTATGAACAGGGTGGAGTTCTTCAGTGAGGAGGAAGCATTTTAGGATCCAGCTTGTTTATGAATTGAAATCCCTGGGCCAGCTGCCCAACCACAAAAATCCATGAGAATAAGTCTGAGTTATACGAGCCAGCATCTCTCTCTGGACGACCGGACGCCAGCGAGGTGGGAGTGTGAACGTCAAAAAAAGGCCTTGCTTGTTCCCTGAGCCGCTGTCCCCGCCTTGTCCTCTGTTTGGGTAAAAGATTATACCCCAGAAGAAAGGTGCAGAAACAGCTTCCTCTGCTGGCTTGTAATGATTTATTGATCTGCTGAAGTTTTGTTGTGTTTTTAGTAGATTTTTTTGGAATTGTTGACAGTTTTAGATCTAATATTATATACACTACCTTTCAAAAGTTTGGGGTCACATTGAAATGTCCTTATTTTTGAAGGCAAAGCACTGTACTTTTCAATGAATATAACTTTAAACTAGTCTTAACTTTAAAGAAATCCACTCTATACATTGCTAATGTGGTAAATGACTATTCTAGCTGCAAATGTCTGGTTTTTGGTGCAATATCTACATAGGTGTATAGAGGCCCATTTCCAGCAACTATCACTCCAGTGTTCTAATGGTACAATGTGTTTGCTCATTGGCTCAGAAGGCTCATTGATGATTAGAAAACCATTGTGCAATCATGTTCACACATCTGAAAACAGTTTAGCTCGTTACAGAAGCTACAAAACTGACCTTCCTTTGAGCAGATTGAGTTTCTGGAGCATCACATTTGTGGGGTCGATTAAACGCTCAAAATGGCCAGAAAAAGAGAACTTTCATCTGAAACTCGACAGTGCTTTGGTGCTGGTAAGGTGGGAGATTTGTACAGGGTAAAAGGGATTCTGAATAAGGAAGGCTATTACTCCATTTTGCAACGCCATGCCATACATAGTGGACAGCGCTTTATTGGAGCCAATTTCATCCTACAACAGGACAATGACCCTACACACACCTCCAAAT